CATCTCCTTTTTCTTCCTTTACTCTCTCTTCTTTGCTTTGAGGGCAAGACACTTTATGTCAAAGTGGGCTGCTGCTTGGTTGAGGTTGCAGTGCCATTGGAGTTGGTTAGCAGCCAGCTCCTCTTAGCTCTTGATGTCAGTGTCCATTTTCTTGAGGTATGCCTTCAATGTGTACTTGTACCATTTCCTCTGGCTGCTGTAAAATCTCACTAAGCTGGGAATAGAGTACTTGTTCTAGGATTTGAGAATCAGGGTCTGCACACAATGTCTGGTCCATTGAAGTTGGTGCTTGAGGATCACTGACTCAGTGCTGGTAATGCTGGCTTCAGGAAAGATGTTGGTATCCATGCACTGATCTTCCTATTTGATGCCAAGGATTTTCTGGAGGCATCACTGATGATACTTTTCCAGGCTCTTGCAATAATGACAGTAAGTGACCCATGTTTCACATCCGTAGAGGCAAGCGGGGATGATGACTGCATTGTAGATCTGGACCTTGATGTCTTTCTGGAAGTCACAGTCAGTAGAACGCACACCAAAGCAATTTCCTGAAGGAGTCACTTGTGCCAAATTGGCTCTAACAAGGAGAAGGGTAGGACCCTCTTTCCTATGAGCCAAAATTTCTCTCAACCACATGGTACCCTTTGCCTCCAGCTAGGGGACCCTCTGTGCACAGAACTTGTCTTCTCCATACAGAAAGCAAGGGGTGAGGGTCAGCTGTTTCCACAACAGCACTGTACTTCCCTCAGACCATGCAGCTTGTGTGTGGGGAAGGAAGGATATCAGACAGAAGCAGATGGGAGCACAAAAGGCAAACATAAACCTGCACTGCACCCAAAAGTCAGCTTGCAAGTGCTCTTCAGGGGACAAGTCCTGTATGGCAGGTGATGCCCCCCAGAACAAACTCCTAGACACAGGCAGCAGCTGGAGAAACAGACAACATGGCTCAGATGCCCTATGAAATCAACTAGCCCTTCTCACATTGGGCCAGGAGTGCACTGCCCATTTGTGGCACCAAAATCAGGTGTCACATAGGGTTACAGAGGTGTGGGCTTTTATCTTTATTACTGTGGTGCCTACAGGTCACTTTATTCCATGTGCTGCACCACCAAAGAACAAATGTAATGACTGGCAAGGCAACGGGTCTGTCTTCAAATGAACTAATCCATTCAGCATAATCAAGGTCACAATTTGGGCAGGAAGTGAATGTCTCAAGAACTAGTTCCTACCAGGAGATTTGGTCAGATAAACCCACAATGTAGATAAGGGGCCACCAGTCCTGGACACTGAGTTTGGGGGAGAGCTGAGGGGCTGGGTGTGCAGAAATAGCTGCTGCTGTGCTACAAGCTTGGCTGACAGTGGCAGCACAGCCACCGACGCTGATGCATGTGCTGCCGCTGCCCAGGGGCCAGAAGTACCCAGGTATGCCTCTGAAACAAACCAGGAAAAGTCCTTGTCTTGTGACGATGCTCAGATAAGTATGTAGTCTGGTTGTCTGGTCTGATACTCTACCTTGTGCATATGGAATTGTTTTTCTTTTTTGGTACTTACACTGTTTTCAACAAAACTCTCATTGAGAATACTGTACTCCTTGTTTCTGAGTTCTAGATGCCCCTCAATGTATAGAAGCTCAGAGAAGTTAAGAGGAGGAGATGTCAGCGATATCAAAAACATATCACATGATAGACTGCAGAGGAAATCTTTGCCTTTTGCTCACTGAAAATCCTCTTTGAAGTTTCTTCATTGTTTGACCAATTCTTGGTTGCTTGACCAGAATGTATTAGCTGTTATAGATGAATATTTATTGAGAATAACCTACTGGATGGCACTATACATCTGGAAGATTTTTAGCCATCTGAAAAAGTATATTTAGTTTCTCCTGCACTCTGTTTCAAATAAAGGATGAGGTCTTTTCAGGGCAAGCAGGAGAAACTTCAGCTTTCTCACTGCTGCCCAGTCTAGCGTCATCCTTCAGTGAACAAGGTTTATTTATTAATCTTCTTTTCTAATATTAACCTGTATGTACATAAGGAAGTCCCTTACTTTACCAGCACTCAATTAAAAGGGCAATTACATGAAAAAAGCAGGAGAATGCTTTTTCAAAACCTTTGCAAACTTTTTGACCCTAGGTGGAGTTGCTAGAATGCAGAGCATTCCCAAAAAATCTGACCCCAAACTTGTATATTTTTCTTTAAAGTACATCAGAAAATTGAAAAGCTTTTAAAGCACTTAAGGCAGAGATTTCTTGCCTTCTAGGACTGAATATTGACCTGACTTGATAAAGTACAAAGCATAGAAAAAGCTGTTCCTGAGAACAAAGCAAGAATATTCTACTATGGAAGGGAAAAGGGTTTGACTTCACTGTTGCAAGCTAATGCAGGATAAAGAGAAATAATAGAGGTGAGGTCTAATGGCTAGCATCTGAGTGCCAGGAATTCCTGAGTTAGTATCACTACTACATTTACAACATGCCTACCACCATAAACACTTCTTTCCAATAGCTTTAAGATGCTGTTATGCTGCCATCCTAAAACCTTATCCTCCTCCACTGGAGAATAATGGCAGTTGAGGATTCTTAGCATTTTACAGAATCTGATCTATTTATTGGAGGCAAATCCTACAGAAAAGGTTAGGACAGAGAGTAAAAAGAAACAGTGGAGCAAATTAAAACTACAGGGGAGATTCAGGTGGGCAGATTGTAATGATCTGAACTGGCTTTTAGCTTAGTGCTGTGGTTTCATGCTTTCAATTTGCAGAGAACTGCTGTATGCATTAGTGTAGGGGTTGTCAACTAGGGGTATGTGTACTCCTGGGTGTACTTGGAAAGGGGGTAGGGAGCACTGCTACTCAGCATCCCGCTCCACCACCTCCCAGGACCAGGGCTGGGAGGGTGGGAGAGGGCATGAAGGCAGCAGCTCCCCTGTGCAGGCTGTACAGATGCTTCCCAGCTGGCTAGACACGGGGGGCGGGGAGCTTGCACATGGCCGCTGCTGCTGCCATCCACCACCCCGCACCGCTGTGTGCAAGCCCCCTCTCCCTCCCGCTCTGTGTCTGGCCACCACCCTCCACCCCCTGCTCCACCAGAAGTGTGCCCAGAAGGGGTACACTCCTTAAAAAAGGTTGAAAACCCCTGCATTAGTACAAAGAATACATGCTTCAAGTCTGCAGCCAAGCATCTTTCAACATATCTTAGCTTTTACTGCACATAATATTTGCAAATATTTGTGCTTTACCTTGCTCAGCATTGTGAGAGGAGAAAGAGATTTTATTTAAGAAATCTGCAATCTGAAATCAGACCTGGTGGAGAGTTGTTCCATGTGCTTCACCACAATCCTGTTCTTCCTCCTTCCTTGGAAAGAGAGGAAAAGACCAGGTCCACAATTTAAGCTGTGACAGCATTTCCACCAGCCACAGCATCTGGCTCCTTGGCAAGCATTGCACTGTACTGGAAAGGCAGCTTTGAAGTAGGCGGAATATGGTATGCTTCATATGATCAAGCTGCGTGCTAATGGACTGTACTTTTTAACTAGTCCTCCTGGACTACATTTCCCATATTGTCCTTTTTCAGTTGTGAAGATTGCATTCATTTGGAGAACACAGAGCCCTGATATGGCACCAGAAAGGTGCAAAAGCAGTCTTTCTTGGGATAACATATAGGCTTGGGTGATGCAGGAACTTGGGGAGGTCTTTAGAGCTGTGTGTTTGCTGACAACTTGGACTCAAGTGTTGGCTCTGCAATTCACAGCTAGTAGAAAGAATACAGAAGACCTGTGTAGAAGTCCAGGTGTCTTGGATGCATGCAGGCATATGCACTTAATTGGGGGGGGTGCAACCTGTTTGAGAAAATAATTCTGGCACACATCCAGGAGGGGCCAGCAGGGGACTGCATGCTTAGGGGCAATCAGCACGGGTTCATCAGTGGCAGGTCATGTCAGACCAACCTGGTGGCCTTTTACGATCAGATCACCAGATCATTAGATGCAGGGGTAGCAGTGGACATAGT